GTTTATTGTTTTAAAGATAAAAATAGTTGGATAAACCATAAAGTTTAACAAGTTCAAACCCAAAAATAGTTAAAAATCGATCCAAAAACAAACAAAAAAAAACAAAAAAAAAGCAAGTCTAACGCGGTTGCATATGCGGATGGCTTAAAGAACCTTAAAACTATCCTATTATAATATAGCTCAACCCAAAAATAATAAAAATGGATCCAAAAACGAACAGACAAAAAAAAACACGCGGCTGCCTACGTGGATGGCTTAATGAAGCTTGAATAATATAGATTAAGATCTCAAAAATTTAATCCTTGCACAGATTTCCTAATATATATTTTCAAAAAAAATTGTATGTGAGATAAAATAAAAAAAAGCAAAATTTAATTATTTTTTGTTATTTATTAAATGAATATGTAATTTCTCTTACATTTTAATAACTACTATAATTTCATTGAAAACATTCCTCACCACCGATTCCAGACCCCGGCGAATGGATTCCCACAGTCGATGACGCCGTAGATAAAAATGAAACATCATTTATGAACAAAACTCAAACTTACAAAAAACCATATATAAAAATCTATCTAATGAAACTTAAACAACGAATATTAACTTAATTAAGGTTATTTTCAAATTGATAAATCATTTAATACAAATATAACTACTATAAATATAGAATTATATCAAGTTTGACCTACGATATAAAAACTATTTACAGGAAAAAAAAATAGATCACACCTACTTTTACACACTACAAATTATATTATAGCTTAACTATTCCTATAAACCTTACTTCGCATATAAATAACATTTAACACATTATATATACATTATTTTCACTTTATACTCTTACTACTTTCTTTCAATTTCATTATTATTTGGTGTTATTAGAAGAATCCACTAAACCAACAATCAATAAAATATTGCAAACACAATGATCCCAGCCCCGCGCTTGCGCGGGGAATATGCAACTAGTGACAAAAAGGACTCACTTCAACAATTCTCAAAATCAACAAGCAACAAAGGACAAAAGGGACCCACTTCAACAACTCTCCAAAGCAACACGCAACATAGGAAATGATGGCCTACTCCAACAACTCTCAAAGGCAAGAAGCAATCTAAATAATGATGACATACTACATAACTCCCAAGGACAAATAACAACAACTCCATAAGAAGCAAATTCCCGACTCGACAACGACGATGTCAACTGTCCAGACTCGAAAACGACAAGGTTAACTATCCTGACTCGACAACGACAAGGTCAACTATCCCGACTCGACAATGACAAGGTCAACTATCCCGACTCGACAACGGCGATTTCAACTATCCCGACTCGACAACGACGATGTCAACTATCCCGACTCGACAACAACGATTCAACTACCTACGCCCAAGAAAAAAATCGCTTTTGGTGACGACCCAAAAAAAAATGAGGCCAGAACGAAACCCTTACAGGTCGGTCTTCAGTTGGGTGTTAAGCCGGATCTCGCTCACTTTTCTCCATCCTACCTTAGGGGTTAAGCTGAGGCAGATTCTCACAGGTCGGTGACGGTTGGGTGTTATGCCGGGTCCGCCCGCTCACTTTTCTCGATCCTACCTTACTGGTTAAGCCCAGGGAAAAAAAAAGAAGCTAAGCCACATGATCACTACCTCATCTCATCCAGCCAAGACCCGACGAGCCGACCTTGCCTCATCCAGGCAGAACTCGATGACCCCAACCTCATTATTTTTGAAGACAAGGAAAATCCAATCTGGCCAATTTTGATTTACTCCGAGCTAAGTTCTCTTTTCTTTCTTAAATTCAACTCACTCATTTTACTCCCTCATCGAAATGGGGGGGGAGAGAGAGAGTTATTGTTGGAGGTGGGTTTACAACCCCCACTTAGCTCTTCCCAAATCACCATTGGTCCATTAAGCATAAACAAGAAACCTGGCCGAAAAGGGAAAAATTTGTGACCAAGTTTAACTAAAGTTGGTGACAAAGCTATTCCACTATAAATATAACTCTCACCTCTACACAAACTCCATTCTGAATTCCATTCACTTTCCCTTTCCTTCAAAAAAAATAGAAGAAAGAGAAACAAACATAAGTTTTAGAGAGAAGTCTCTCTGGAAAATCCAGAAGGCCATTCGTCTGACGACGACGCACCGACACCGCCGCACCGACAACGATGCACCGACACCACTGTACCGACGACGATGCACCGACACCGCCGCACCGACACGATGCATCGACACCGCCGCACCGACGACCTAAGCATCTTTCCCCGACAACCTCATTCCAATGACGATAACCAGAACCATCATCTCAAAAAGCTATGACTTCACATCTCACCATCTTCATGTTCTCTCACTCTGGTCTCACTCTGGTCTGGTATCAATCCTAATGTCAACTTTAAGATATGATAATACCATTGAAATATCTGTGGAGTAACTATGAATGACTTGATCTCTATTAAGATAATACGTAGGTAACTTTTCACAAGATACAATTATAACACAAAACCACCCTTTATCTCTTTATCATCGCTAGGTACAATTTCATGTACAAGATTCTCAGAGCTCAGTATCTTACATAGGTTAACTCTAATCCTTGTTTGACCATTTATTATATTTGTTGACCTTACCGGATTTGGGCTTCAACAATCACCATCATCTATAATTCATCCACGTCCAAGAACATCGAAAGCTCTAGGATAAGCCCCCATACCACCTTCAAGTGATCTTTTGGGCCAATGCTTCAACTCTAGACCTAACCGAGAGATATCAATCTTTGATATCTGAAACCGCACCACTTCCCTAATTAACAAACATGCAAGTTTTATTTTCCATCTTAGTCTTACTTGATTTCCGTAAATTCATAGCATGGTTATATGGTTTTCAAGAAATAGACTTTAAATACTATTGTAATTTAGGGATACATTTAGAGAATGTTATTCATTTATGAATCTTAATTGATTTGAAATTAAGATTTGCAAATCCTTGTAATTTTTTTGGTTTACAAATCTATTGAATGGATTGTAACTATTGTTTACAAATCCGTAAAATTTCTTTTAGATTTATATCTTTTTATTTTTAAAAGGTTATTTTTTTTTAATCCAATAAATTCGCTATGAGATCAAATTGATAAGTAAATATGTAAAATTGAGTAACACTGAACTTTAATTAATATTTAGTAATCACTTACTGTAAATCATGTGATTTGATACAAAAATAAAATTACTAATCTGATAACACATAATTTTGGGACGTAGATGTCTAAATCCTTTAAAATACAAATCAATAGCCCCACTTAAAACGTGAGCACGTTTTTTCTTAATGAACTTATAGAGCACATTGCAAAGACTTAGGACCTGTTTGTTTCACCATCCAGATGACTCATCTGGATGTAGATGAGAGTTTTGTTTGCTTATACACTAAAAGTACAACTCATCTAGATGGATTATTCAGATGACTTTGAAATTTTAGACTTAATTTTGAAGTTCATCTGGATGGACCAATTTGAACCATCTGGATGGAGATGTTTCTTCCAAAATTATATAATGTCTATTATACTCTTTTATATAATTCATAAATTACAAACCTAAACATACTATTATTTTATAACTTATATGACAAAACCACATTTCCTCAAATGATAAAACCGCATTTTTCCGCCAAAATCGTAAAAACACGTTTTTCTGCTAAAACTGCAAAAACGTGTTTTCTCGCCAAAACGTGTTTTCCCGCCAAAACATGTTTTTCCGCCAAAACGCGTTTTCCCGTCAAAACGCGTTTTTCCGCCAAAACGCGTTTTCCCACCAAAATGCGTTTTTCCGCCAAAACGTGTTTTCCCGCCAAAACGCGTTTTCCCGCCAAAACGCGTTTTCCCGCCAAAACACGTTTTTCCGCCAAAACGCGTTTTCCCGCCAAAACGTATTTTTCCGTAAAAACGCGTTTTCCTGCCAAAACGTGTTTTCCCGCCAAAACGTATTTTTCCGCAAAAACGCGTTTTCCTGCCAAAACGCGTTTTCCTGCCAAAACGCGTTTTCCGGCAAAAACATGTTTTTCCGCAAAAATGTGTTTTCCCACCAAAACGTGTTTTTTTGCTAAAACCGCAAAATGTGTTGTCCCGCCAAAACCGTAAAAATACCTTTTTCTGTCAAAATCGCAAAAACACGTTTTCCCGAAAAACACATTTTCCTGCAAAAACGTATTTTTCCGCTAAAATCGCAAAAATGTGTTTCCCGCTATAACCGCAAACACACATTTTCCAACTAAAACCACAAAAACCCGTTTTCCTCCAAATTCGCAAAAACTCATTTTCGCGTCAAAATTATAAAAATATATTTAAAATTAATATCATAGATATGACTAAATTAAAACAAGGATATTTTAGTAATTTTTTTACTAAACTTATCTAGATGAAGAAGAAAAACAGAGAAACAAACATGAGTCCATCTAGATGATCCATCTTGATGGACAAACAAACAATCTCAAAAATGTGGATGGACCATCTAGATGAATCATCTAGATGGATTAGCTGGATGGAGATGATAGATAGTGAAACAAACAGCACCTTAGGTAAAATTCATTTAGATATTTAGATTGGACTTTGGAACGAAACATATTCATATATGGATCTCCTCTGAGTTAATCCTTCGTAGGAACATGTATGAATTTAATTTAGAACTGGTCCATTAGGATCCTGTTAACGACTGATCCCTCCCATTTTTGACTTTTCCAATTACATGACGCACATTTTTAATAGATTCTCAACATGATTCTTATTCTTGCCCCAAAAATAACTTTTAGACAGCCTGGTCCTCATCCAGTGTCGCACATAGGATGTTTAATAGGCTCTTGAAAATGGTCCTCATATAGAATTAGCTGGTGATCCCCGTAAGGCGACATCGTTCTTATATCATTAATCAACGAGCCCCAATGTAAGATCTCAATCTCATGTATAGAACAATAAATCTAACTTGCTTCAGTCACTTTGCAAAGAATGACGGGAACATTTAACCAAAGAAACGAGATCTTTATTGCACACACGATCATCATAAGACCATAGAATAAAGCAACCATCAAACAATACATAAAAAGATAATTTGAAAGAACGTAAATCCATCGCACCTAAAAAGGTCTGAGATTAAAAAGGACAAAAGTTTACAGAGAAACGAAATTTTCAAGTTTTTGTCTTTAGACTGTCCATCATAATAAGACTAGAAAAAAGGATTCAATGTGCGTTTTAACTCTAAAACCAGAAACCTTCAAAGGATTTATTAAAGCAGAGAAGACCTACATGAACAAAACACGGCCAAATACATGCCCATATCCGTATGTCCATCAAAGATCAAAATGGTGGTGATTCAGGTCTTACCGCACAGGCTGTTGGTTATAGTGGTTCTTCTCCTTCTTCTTTGCAGCCGCCAGCTTTGCACGTCTTGCCGCTGCCTCCTGCGCAGCAGTTTTCGCTCCGGCATCCATCTCTTTGCTTGACTTCTTCTTCTTAATAGACGCAATCTTTTTCAGCTTTTCTTTGACATCAATAGCAGATTCTTCCTCAGTAGGTTCAGACCCAGCAGCTTCATCTACAGCGTCTGAGTTAGCTTGTTGTTCTTGAGATTCTTTCACCTCCAGCAACTTCTGTTTATCCTTCTTTTTCTTTTTCTTTGATGTCTTTGACTCCCCACCTGCTGCATTCTCTTTCTTCTCTCCCTCTCCATTGATCTCTTCTTTCTTTTCTTCTTTGGCCTCTGTGAATGAACAAAGAGCACAAGTCACAAGGTGTTTATATTACCAAAAAGCTACATACATCAAAACAGCTTCACAGTACAATTGTGTCACAACAATCAGTTGTATTGGCTGTGCAAGTATTAATGCATCGAGAGTATTATTAAAAACGACAGGATTGGAAAAAAAAAGGTTACCTTTAGAGTCTTCTTGAACATTATCGTCCTTGGGGGCAACTCCAAAATCTGCCAACAAAGCCTCAAGCTCAGCAAGTTCCTTCTTTCTCCTCTCCTTCTTTGAAAGTTGCCTCTCTGCCTCTTTAGGAGGTGCAGGAACTTCAGGAGCTTTCTTCACCTCAGGTTCTGGTTCCGGATGAACTTGTACCTCTGTTTCATGTTCATGCTCTTCATCCACGTCATCGTCAACTTCATCAACTACATCTTCCTCACTTTCACTTTCCTGACAATCAATACAACAGAATCCAATCAGAAACCATAAAAACCATACATGCAGTCTGGACACAAACCCCAACTAAAAGCAAATCAACCTTAAAAAAAAAATCAAATATATATAATAGACATGTCTATGAAAGCAAACATTTGTAAACATCAAACAGGAACTGATACATTTGTAATAAACAACCAAACAAAAAAAAGGGAAGCCAATAGATTAAGACACAACAAGAAAGAAACATATATTGATTTAATCTTCTGACCTCAACATGAGTGTCTTTAGGCTCAGAAGTGGTCCAAGCAGAGGTAGGAGGAGCAGTGGTAGCGTAATAGTCATCATCTTCATCGTCATCATCGATATCAGCCCACGACTTAACTTTCAAAGGCGTAGGTGCCCAGAAAACCTGTGGCTCAGGCTGCTCCTTCTCTGGCTCTTTGCTCTTAGAGGAGGAACCTTTGCTCTTACCAGCTTTGTCTGTCTTCTTCTTCTTCTTGCGAGTGTCCAAAGCTGCAAACAAATTGGTGCTCTGGATCGTAATCGATCCTTCGTCTCTCCTGTTTCCACCTCCAGCCATCTTACTTCAGATCAAAACGACAGCAAATAACAAACAAGCTTCTTCGGACAATAACCGCGGATTAACAAATGGAAAGAGATCTAACAAATTGAAAATTAGGGTTCGAGATGAGAAATCATAGAATCTAAAGGGGAAGCTGTAATAACTGTGTGGAGATTAGAAAATTAGGGTTTTTGCTTCTTTTCTATTAAGGATGAGGAAATCTGGGTGAAGCAGCCGTATAGGTTAGGGCTAAATCGAGATAACGCTAGAGAAGACATTATAAAAGCTCGTGTCCCCTGAATTTATGTCGAATATATTTTATATTTACCTTTTTGGTACCTGATGATTCGTGGTTGTTATTTTTCTTCACTCAAAGTTGTATTGGTGGTTTTTAACATTTATCTAATCTATTAAAAATAAGCTATATAGGATTATTTTTGTTTATACATTTATTTACGAAAATATCAATTAAACATCATTAGACGTCTAGATTTTTATTAAAATGATAGTTAATTTTTTTTTAACTAAATAATTTTAAACTAGGTGATTCATAATATAGTTTCATATTTTCAGTTTTTTTAAATTTCTTTAATTATTTTAAACTCCCTTATATTTTTATCTTTTTTTAAAAAAAATAATAAATTTATCAAAAAAATTTAAAATATGACTAAATTAATATTATTTAATTTAGTGTTAACATTAAACATCCAATAATAATAATTATATTTCATAGAATAATTAAATTAAAAGGTAAATATGATTAAATAAGTTAATATACTTTTATTTTTATAGATGAGAAATTTCAATTCTAACACAAGTTTAGTACTATTTTTCAAATTTATTAGCAAAGAATGATTTTCACAAATATTCTAAATTTGTGATAAAATAACATTAACTTAATTTTTTAAATATTTAAAGAACATTAATAAATCCAACTTTAATCCCTTAATACTAAATCCGAAATAAATTATTACTAAAATCTAAACCCAAAATGTTAATATATATTTTGATTGGTGACATTTTTGAAAAATGGTAATTAACTTGCTGATATTTCTAACAATTTCTCTTTATAGATTTTGCACATAAACCAACACCTATATATATACATTAAAACTCTCATTTATGTTTGTTCAAATAAATTTTAACTAGGTAATTTCTATGTGCTCATGCACTGGTATAAATATTTTTAAAGTAAATATATGATAATAATTAATTACTATTTAGTTTTAATTTTAAATTAATTTATAATTTGTATGCATCATTTATATTAATAATATTATATTAGTTTAATTATACTATAATTTTTTTTTGTCATCAACTAAACACAGATTCATGTAAACTCTGCAAACCAATCGGGGAGCTCTGTATCCATATGGACGACGAAGGTCGGTTGTTTTCCTAGCACTCCGTGCAAGGTTATCCGCTCGTGAATTCATCGTTTTAGGTATATGGAGAAGCTCGGAGGAGTGAAAACTGTCTTTCAGGATCTTGATATCTTTGTAAATGCTGGTCATTCTTCTGGTTCTGAAACTATCTTCACCAGTTGAGAGCAATCTGTTGCAAATATGACTTAATATTAACGTAAATTCCTCATACATTACATTGCCCAAATAAGTGCCTCCATTTCGGAGTGAAGTGGGGAGAGATTAGCACGGGTATTTCTTACTCCCATTAAACCTTTGAAACTCTCAAAGGTACTATACCAACTGTGTCTTGAAAATAACTCCTTGTCCTTCCATGACTCTTCTATAAAACACCATTTGCATGCAATATGGGGTAAAGTTGTAACCTCTGATCTTTGGGATATTTGTTGTGTAAGTGTCAATTGTGCCTCGGCTCAAAGAAGTAATCATGTTTCCGCCAGTTTGAGGGTATCTCGGGGATCCATATCAATGTTACTAAAATTATTGGTATTCCTCCCTTTCCAGATATACCATAAAATTCAAGCGAATTGATGATCAATCCATCTTTGGGGAAACTCTCCAAAACAAATGATCCATATTCCTGAAAAGTAATTGTGCAGAGAAATTATCTGCATTAGATGGAATCCTAGACAGAGCCCACACTTGCACTGCAGGAGGACATTCAAAAAAAGACGTGGTTCACCGATTCCTCATTTCCTCTTGGTCACCAAAGCGAGCACAACATATGTCACCCTTTATTCCTCTTCTATTTAAATTTTTCTTGACCGCTATGCAACCTGAAACGGTTTGCCATAAAAAAATGTTCGATTTTCGGTGGACATCAAACTTTTCAGCAGAATGCCTTGAGGGCATCAATAGTAGGTCTGTGCATTGCTGGTGGTTTTCCCCTGTCCGGATATATCCTCTTCACTTGGTATCTAGATTTCACCGTATATTTCTATTATTTGTAAAATCCCAGCCCTCTCTATCATTCATTTGTGTCCGACTTAGAGGTATACTCTGGATAATCTGCACATCCTGAGGATCTATGAGAGATCGGATTGCCTGTAAATTCCACGTAAGTGAAATGGGGTTGATGAGGATCCACTGTAAGGTTCGGAAGAAAATTTTGTTGATTGTTGTTTTATATAAGTTATAGCTAGTTGATTTTGTTGATTTAGTTATTATATGGATAAATTGGATTGCATCTGTGAATTCAAGTATAATACTTTTAAAATTTATTAATTTTTTAATTAATTACTTATTTGCATATTGTAGGCGTTGTCTTAGATATATAAATATATTTAGGAAAATTATGTATAACATAAGATATATTGTGCTTAGAATGAATTAAAATTAACTAAAGTGTCTGATTCAAAAATACGTAAATTAACATAACGATAATATTCTAAAGTATCATGCATACATATAAATTTACAAAAGAATTAAAATTGTAAGCGTTGGTTAATATTTATTTTAGTTGTTAATATGTTTTGAGTTATCCTATGATCAATAGAAGGTTACATGCATAAGTACTTGATACATTTTTGGAACATATCAATATTTACAATAATTAAAATATTTATAATTTTTTTAAAAATTTCTGCTTTAGATTTATTAAATGTAAACTGAAATTTATTTTAAATAATCTTAAAATTGGTAATTCAGATTTGCTTTGGTATTTTTATTATAGTTATATTTAGTTTCACAAACATAAAAACATAAAATTTAAAAGAAAACTTAATATTAAGAAAAAAATAATTTTAATAATGATAAAATATCATATATCTAGCTCATTAAACTAATTGTTAATTTTTTGATCAAACGATGTTTATTTTTAAATTTATTTTTAGTTTTTAATATCTCTTAAAAATAAGCACTATACAAAATTGTGATTGTATTTGAAAATAATATTATATAAGTAAAGTATAATTTATAGATAATTTTATGTAATTGAAAGATATTATAGTCAAATAAATATATGAAAAATAAATAAAAAAATTCAATAATACTAATTATAAACTATTTTATTACTCAAAAAGTATAGTTAATGTTATATAAAAATATTTTTAAATGAGATTATTACTATTTTGTGAACTTTCATTTTTTATGAAATCATATTATATATACATATATTTTTATGTTTTCGATTTGTTTTTATAACTTTATAAACAATTTCTTTTTTTATAATATATATTTTTGGAAATTGTGGAAAATAAACTAAATAAAAGAATAAATAATACTATTTTAACTATTTTTAATTCGTTAAGGATATCAGTGTAGTCAACCATCGTTAGAGTAAATGTTAAAGCGACATATATGAAACTGGCTTCTCAAATAATTCTCAAATAATTTTATAGAGATTTACTAAAAATATTAATTGAGCATATACATAATTTATTTCAAACGTAATCCTAGTGGGCTTTTGGCTTTCGGGCCTCCAACTTTCGGTTTTCATGAGTTTTCTCTTATCTCTTATATAAATGAATTTTATAGATTTCAAGATACTATTGTATCTCTCACAAATCTAAGAAATTCGCCAACTATCTCTTAAAAAACAAACTGAAAACCCTAAGAGAGAAAACTATTCTATTTGTTCAAAAGCACGCAACTAGAACTAGATTATATACTTCAACGTAATACTTTTGATAAAACTATATTTTGATGTTCTCGTCCTCTTGCCTCTTGGTTTAGTAGTGTCATCAAGAACCGCTCTTTAATTTACACCAATAGTTTAGCGTTAGAGAGAGGACGGAGTAATAGCAAAATGTGACCACCATGACAAACACTGACTCGCGAGTCAATGCCGGTCTACTGATTTTTTTTTTTTTAAACAATAAATAGTTATTCTACTACTTAAGTTTGAGGTGATTGGGGTAACCAAAGACGATCTAATGATTTATAGTACCATAAGTCAAATTTAAATATATGACCTTATGCACATTTTAACAAAATCATAAAACAATATAATTTATTTGAATTTTCATAAATAAACAAATTCTAAACTGTTTATGGAAGACTAATTATTTATGACACTTATTATTGAAATATAGCTTTTCTTGCATTTTTTTCTGCAAAATCAACTGTTTTCGCTTCAATTAATAATATAAGTAACCCATAGCATTGCAAGTAATTCGTTATCAAGTTCAACTTTGAATTTTTTTGTGGGAACCGAAATTCACCTACTGTCAAAGAATCGTAAATAAAAAAACTTTGAGTAAACCCAGAGTTTCCAGAGTACCCGGCTATCTGCAGAACCGCACAACAATAATTAAGAAAACGATGAACTTAAAATTAAAGTGAGGATGAACGAGATTAAGAGCAAGAAGGTCCTTATTCCGAATCTGCGTAAGAACTGTTACAACGAGAGTGGCCTTAGCTGCATGAGCCGTTGGCGAAATCCCTAACTCTAGAAGTCTAAGACGAAAAAACCTAGTTGAGACGCAGCTCGCTAACAGAAAACGAAAATATTCCTAAATGCTAAGTTTGGTGGTGAAAGCTCTGAAAATCGGGTCCCTGCTTCTGCTCTATGCCTCTTGCTTATATACTCCCATCCTAGGCGGTTTTAGTTTTTCCATTTCGCCCGAATCCGAGTTTATCGGGAATCTTCCGTTTATCTCGATCCTTCCTTTTTTCCCGCGGAAATCTTCTATTTATCTTCAAACTTGCCATTGATCTTCAAACTTGACATTTATCTTCCTTCTGTGAGTAAACTGTCAAAACGTTATCATATCTTCGGGTTAGATTTCGCTAAGATCGCGAGATGGGCTTTTATCGCGTTTTATGACCTTCCGAGCCGTTTTGCGATAAATCCGTTTTACAACATTATACGAGATCGTTTTCTGATCCGATGCCATTTTTAGTA